TCAGAGGGCGCGGATCACCGACCTACCGATCTTCAGTGGCGGGAAGAAAAGCCCGCGCTGACCCCTTCGGCAGGGTATAAATACCGAGAGTCGGGGGTAGGCCTCAGTCCGCGCTGAGGAAGCGCTAGCGGGAGCTAACTCCGTCGAAGAGAGGCGGACCTCCCCCTTAGATAGAGAATAGGGTTGTTTCAGACTGCCGCACTGACTGCAGCAGACTGCAGCAGACTGCAGCTGACTGCACTGACTGCACTGACTGCTGCAGACTGCAGCAGACTGCAGCTGACTGCAGCTGACCGCACTGACCACACTGACCGCACCGGTCGCAGCCTCTTTTCTTAAAAGAAAAAAACAACCGCGATTATCAAAACAGCGTGATTTGCGCATAAGAAGATTTTAAGTTCCATCAGAATTCTTCTCAATCAAATTCTGGCGATAGTTTTCTTTGGTATGTTCGTATTTGTTCTAATTCTTCCTATCATTGCATATACCCGTTTTGTAACATTCTAAACCTTGTTGTCTTTTGCTTTCACGTATATATTGTTGTTGTTTGTTTAAAGCACAACTATTTATCCTCTCCGCCTGCAGGCTTCAGCCGCTGCGGTCGTTGCGGTCAGTGCGGTCAGTGCAGTCTGCTGCAGTCAATGCAGTCAGCTGCAGTCTGCTGCGGTCAGTGCAGACTGCTGCAGTCAGTGCGGCAGTATGAAACAACCCATAACTAGTAAGCCTGCCGAAGTGGTCAAAAGGGTAAAGCCCGTCGTTTCGTTGTTAAGCCTTGTTCAAGTTACGCATTCTTGTTTCTTGTTGTTTTACCGTTTTTCTGAGATAAATTATTAGTCGTTTAATCCGTATTGTCTATCGATCCGATTGAAACCGTTATACCATTGGACACCCCCGGTTACAGTACCCTATAGTCGACAATTGCTGACTTCAGGGTCTTGCGCAAGGCATAGCAGGCAACACGATCGTCCGCCAAATAGGTTATTAATATCTCAGCCGCGAGTGCTCCATCTGCGCTGCCGTGTGGGTGTCTTAGCTAGGCTCACAATATGAGTTTCCACTCATCTTCAGGTGTCCGGATTTTCCTGGACGCTGACTTTGAGTGTGCACTCCACTAACAAAAGTTTTTTCATTTAAAATCAAATTTTGATTTTATTCTCCTCAAAAAAAAACTGTCGTGCCTTCTAATCACATAATTATTTTCGCAGTTTTTTGCGCCAGTGCGTCATCCTGCTTCGCAAGACTCGCACTGGTTCTACTATCCGTATGCTTTCTGCGCTCATATAATGATGACTTCAAAAATCACCGCGCAACGCTGATCACCACAAATGAATTGTGAAACCTACTCACTCCCACAGCTTTTCCATGTAAATCGGTCGGTTACTTGGTGGTAACATTTTCGAGGAAGAACAATGCAAATTTAAGCTAACAATAAGTATTAGATTTATCTTTGGCTTGATAGTTGGTACGAACAATAACTACCATGAGCTACATCAATGATCAAAAATCTTTGTATTATTCTGGATGAAAGCTTGACAAATTGGAGATCTACGTAAATTCCTATTTGGCGCCAATTTTACGAAGAAAAAGATCTTTTGGTTTCTTTTTGGGCTAAAATTCATGGCTCCTAAATTTACATGTCAAACGATTTACGACACTGCAGTCTACATACCGAGCGAACCGTCTTGTCCTTGTGCATAGAGAACCGAAGCACTGGTATGTCTGTCTGGCACTGTCGCGGATTCGCGACTTCCTTCAAAGGAAGCCGCCGCCGCGGTGCGAAGGGGTCCCGAAACGCTGTCCTCGCGCTGCTCCCGCCTTCCCATCGCTACCGCCGCAGCTTTCAAATCAGTCGTCTGTTTCGTTACCTGGTGAGCGGTTGGGTCCCAGTTTCGTCATCCCACGTGTCGATCGATGCAGCGCCGTCCCCAACTCACGCGTCTTCTACATCCAGTACGCCACAGAGGACAGGCAACCCCGCAGACGAGGTAACCCCGTGAGCGCTCGCGCCTGGCACACGCCGGCGACACCGCCACGGGGGGTTTCCGATATTGTCGGCCCCTAGGATAAGATCGGGCTGGTTGTACTCACCCCTTGTGTTTGAGTTTAGGGAATAGTTGTGGATAAATGGTGGGCATTTTACACGTGTGATTTGTTTGATGCGGTGAGCCACAGCTCGGCTGTGGCTCCGGGGATATTGTGTCATCGTATTTGTGTGTATTTTATAATCGTGCCTAGTGTGAAAGATCCGTAAGAAGGCTGGCACGACCCCGGGGAGTGCTGTGGTTATAAATACATGCCCCAACTGTCGGTAGTTGGGAGATGAGTCGGATCGCAAGTGCCGAGTAACTGCTAAGCAGGCTGGTGGCAAGGGCCTCTACGTGTGCATGGAGTGTCCCTGTGGCGGGCGCACATAGCATTTCTCACAGGTAGCCACCACATGATACGTTTCACTCTTTCGTGGAGCGGACCCCTGGCTCCCCTCGCCGATGCAGGAGAGCCGTAACACCACTGACGTTGGGAGCTGGGGGCCCAATCCGCGACAGGCACAAAATTTATAGAGCGAGAAGCCAAGCTCATGGACCGAATTGCAAACATACGTACTAGCAGTTCCACGAGAAGATTGCTCGACCAGCACACGATAGGATATTTTGTATTTGGCTCCGCTATCTTGACATAGATGAAAAAGATTACACCTTAGACCTCGGGCAGAGTTCATGCGATTTGGTAGTTGCGATTCAAGATAACTGTAGCAACATCATTGCATGCCGATATTCTTGCATTTCGGTTGTGATAGTTTCCCAACACGGCTAATCGTGATGAACTATCACAACCGAAATACAAGAAGATTAGCATGCAATGAACTTGTAACATTTGTCTTGTAACGACTGAATCGCGATGATCAAATCACGTGAACTCTGCCCGAGGCCTTAGGCATACCTCACGCGATTTTAGTTGCCGCGCGATTTGGCACTGCAACGATTCTCCATAGCTGGTCGTAAACCACTTTGCTTGGGCCAGACTTGCTGTGTTTGTTACAATTTACGGGTACGCACCCATGCATCTGAGAGCCTCCATGCTTAATCTCTAGACATCTGGCAAATCGTCAAGTCGCGAGGATGTGGCGATTTCGCAAAATCGCGAGAGGCATGCCTTAGGCCTTGGGCTTTGGCACACACATACCATCGTTGCATCTTACTGCTGTTATTTGCTACTACTGCTGTTGAAGTCCCACTTCACTCGTATGGAGAGATAAGACTTTGCTGTTGATCACCCTTATCGATACGTTATTTTGTTTTAACCCTGTCTTTATGTGAAACTGGAGGATATGGAATTCAGAAAGGTAAATCGTCTAAAGCAATCTTTTTTGAAGCTGATTTTTGAGGACCGTGTAAGACAGTTCTGTAGAGTAATATGAACAAGTTGAACAGTGTGTAGTTTATCGTGCTTGTCATGTGAAAACGTGACTAAAGAGACTAGGGAGGGTTCAAGGAGGCGGACGGGACGCCCGGAGAGCCGGTCTGCAAACAGCCCTGTTCGCCGATTTTTTCCTTCTACAGCTACTGCTTAAAGAGCTAGTTCGCACAGTAATTTCAACTTTTCAATTTCAAGGTGGAAATACTATATTTAGGCAAGGAAGTTAAACCCTTTCGGACATACCTTCGATACATAGAGCCACGTACTCTGGTAACCTTCACTTTGAGTGTCATGAGAGGACACAACCTTCACCTGGAGAGGAATACAGAAGTCATCCGGGGCGAAGCCCGGATATTATGATATAACTAATGACTAACTATATAAGGATGAATGTGAATGAGGCAGATATAGTAGTGACATCCACAAAAAGCGCAAAAAACCGAAGGATCGCGTTTTTATGGCCTTTTTTTGCTGAAAAGAAGGTTTTTCTTCAAAAATTCAGTTAGAAATTAGGATGAAACTTATCAAATAACCTTTCTGTAGACTGCGATTGAGCGTTGGAGGTTCATGAAAGCCGCTGGAATTCGATAAAAACGAGAAACTGCGCTGAAATCTTGCGCAGAGAGTCGCCACATAAATGCTGGTCTATCTCGTTATGGAGTGATTTTCAAGACCTGCGACGTTGTCAGTGCTCCTGGCCGTCTCATGAGGATCACAACGATATATAATATTATAGGGTTTTGTTATGACCCCGCGGAGATCAATGACCAGAGCCAAATGCCCCGCCGGCTCTGGTCTGTCTCCGCTGCTCGTCTGCGTCTCCGCGCGCTGCGCGCTACCTCGCTACCCGAAACGCGGGGCGCGGGGCATTTGGCTCTGGTACCCTTTTCTTCGCTGTTTCGAATCCAATTTTAGCAAGCTATATATCATTTTGAAGCTCTTGATCTCTATTTTCACGCTGACAACGTCGCAAGACTCCTTTTTATGATTTAAACGAGAAATCCGGCAAAAACCTTGTTTTCGAAAATCTCTCGTTTTTCTCCTAGTTTGACTCTTTTCACGCGGTTTTTTTGTGTAGTCGATAGGTCTTGTTTCTGTCTATAATGTAGACAACGTCGCCGAGCTTATTTCTCTGCTTATGCCGGTTTTTTTGTGAAAATTACAAAAAAATGCGTTTTTCTTTACCTTATTCTTTTTCAGTGGTTTCGCAACGAATTTTCTCCAGCTTGGACGATGCTTGCTCAGAATGATGAGCAGAAGAATCCAGACAACGTCGCAGGGTACAAGAGGGACGGCGCGAGGGTAAAAATTCAAAGGACGCATCAAAAATCAAAACCCCGCGTTGCGAATTGCTGGTCTTGAAGCGAAAACTTGCACTTTAGAAAGCCGCCAAACGAAAGATTTCAAACCTTATTGCAGCATTTTTATCTGGTTTTCAGCAGTTTCTCTTGCTTTTTATATCTATTTTACGTCATTTTTTCTTCTCTGATCTTCTTCAAACAACCTTCACTATTTATGACGTCAGATGTTCAAACAACCTTCACTTTTGGCGCCCTGTCTCTAGACTATCGAAGGTATGCTTTCGGACCTGGTCGTGCCAATTGCCACAATCAATTTCAGAGGCCTACTGTGCTGGCGCAAGAGCATAATTTTGATGCTCATTGCTAGAGATCTGCTCAGAGAGCCTTTACCTTTCAAGTATAGTGCTGAAACCGCGTTTTCGTTTGTTTTCCTGTTAGCAAAGCAAGAATTCTATAAACAAGTGACTTGCAAACGATCAATAACTTGCCCCGGCGTCAGCACCGTGTCAGTAATCTCATTCATGAGGCAATGAATTTCCTTGATATTACCAAAAAATTTGAACGATGCTGTACAAGTGTAGTCGCTAACAGTTTGCCGCTCCACATGTATCGGAGAAAATTTGCAATATAAAAATAACCGCAAAACAGAAAAATCAAAAAAAGTAAAAGAAAAAAGAGTGGATGTCGAAAAGGCTCCAAACTCCGTTATAATGTTTTTCATATGCTAGTAAATAAAAAACGATAGGAATGAGGCTTTTCTTGTTTCAGGAAAGGATCCCCGAAAGGGTTAAATCTGCTCTCTAAAGCTCCTTTCTCGACGCAAGCTATCGATCTGATTTAGGGCTTTGATTGAACTCTTCTCGTAGTATAAGCTAGCTTGGCGGTTCCAAGTCTCTTTTAATTGTGTGCTTTTCAGCTAAGAGAAGGTCCGCTGATATTCCGCTTTAAAGGCAGTGTCCGGGCAAAAACTCGATTTTGAGATTTTGTGCTTACCCGGGCCTATCCGCTAGGCTGAATCCGAAAATCCACACTGGAGAGCACGAAAACGACGAAAAAAGGCTCTAACACTGGAGGGAAATCAGCAAGTGGGCGGGGTCTTCCCCACGGTCAATTCACGCTTCCAGCTTCCAGAGCAATTTTCTCGAATCCGTTAGCCGCCCTGACATCACCACCAATCAAGTGCAATTGAATGACTTGAAACCGGAATCAAAAAGATCGCCCCCGAAGCTGGGAGCGTGAATTCACCGTGGGGAAGACCCCGCCCACTTGCTGATTTCTCTCCAGTATTAGAGCCCTTTTTCGTCGTTTTCGCGCTCTCCAATGTGGATTTTCGGATTCAGCATAGCGAAAAGGCCCGGGTAAGCACAAAATCTCAAAATCGAGTTTTTGCCCGGACACTGCCTTTAACGCTGCTTCTAGGCAGTTGCTATCCAGACTCCTTCTGTGAGGCCTGAAAGCGGTCAGGGCTCTCTCCATCCTTGCAAAAGCGGTACTGTGCCTTGCTGCATCCTTACTAGTTTAGCAACAAGGAAGCTCGTACATAGCTCGTCATGGCATACCCTAAATAGGCGTCAACGAAACACCAGGCTGACACCCAGCTGGATTTCAATCTCTAGATAGCTTTGTGTATATCAATCTGCCATGAGATTGAATTTACGCTAGGCCAGCCTCTTGCTTCAGGTTAGTGCTCCTCTTAAGGGGAAGGTGGGGAAGGGGGGGGGGGGGGAGGAGGGGTACTAACCTAAGGACTAAGGCAGGAGGGGTACTAACCTAAGGACTAAGGACGAGTACGGCACTGCTCCAAACAAGTGGGAAAAATGGTGCATAAAAAGTCAAACATTGCGGAGCCACAAGAAAAAGTCTTTTTTCACATCAAAATGTCCACTAATCTATGGGACCTAATCAATTACTGATTCATAGGAACTGAATTTTCCAGCTTCATTGTCTTTGCTCTGTCATTTCGAATGTGCTCCACGAAAACGCCATGTAGTGGGGTGATCCAGAACATCAAAAATGGACATTGCTACAGGGTGAGTAAAGTCAAGCATACATAAGATAGACTAATACGCAGTAGATTTGTACTATTCTGTGACTGATAAACTAGGAACAGCTTTGCACATATTGTCTAAGCTTGAACTCGTTTCTTCTGGCAGTGTAGCAAAAAATTCCAGGTGCTCTTTGATTCAAATGGCTTAGCGGCTAGAAGGCTGGTCTTCGTGACCTAATTGAGGCCAGATAATGATCAGAGAGCACGCGCGCGTGAGAGACTCATGTTGCGTCGCGCGCGCGAGCGGCCTCAATTAGGTCATAAAGCTCTGCCTTCTAGCCGCCAAGCCAATTGAAATACAGGTTAGATACATCACAAATATAAAGTTGTTAAAGGCAGCGTCCCATTAGACTGAGGGGTACCTGGCTCTGGTAGTAATGTAACAGTGGTCCCCCTAACTAAGCGACATCAGAAGTTGCAGCGCGAAAGGGGGGTCTACGAAGTCTATTCGCCCCTCAAGTGGCCCGGATCTTACGGTAGACTCGGACGAGTACGGTGCGTGCGAGGTACAGACGCAAGTTGCTGGAGGACCCTGCGCTCATGACTGTGTGCGCTATGCGTGCTTTGGCCTTGCATTTCGAGATCGCTGGTGTACGGCATCCGGCCCTACCATAAGTTCCGGGCCACTTTCAAATTTCGAACTTCAGTCATCGTTTCGGTAGGGGGTCTACTTTAACATGGCCACAAAAATCCGGCACCTACTTTTTGCCGGGACGCTGCCCTTGACCATTAGATCAATATTGTTTTGGCAATGTTGAGAAGCTGTTTCAAGTCTCTTAAAGGAAACGAAGGTTGGCCGGAGTGGCCTTTTGAAGTGAAATGTACACTGTCTTGTAGAGCTTGGAACGCTGATTCCAAATCTGCCTTCGCTATCTGCTGCGGGCTTCTGCACGATGAGTTATAAAGGTTTATGTGAGTAATAAGTTAATAGCGAATTAGTGTAAAATCAAACGTACCTTTTTTTCTAAAGCTCAACCAGTAGCCAGGTCACTGGGTGCAAGGAATATTCTTGTTTCAAATATTTCAACTCGCTGTACCCCATTGGAACATCAGGAAAAGGTTACGACTGATTTTTATACTAGCCTTGCATTTGCATTTTTACTCGCAAAAACCTTCATGAGTCCTCGCCCAGAAGGCCGTTGGAATCAGCGTTCCAAGCTCTACAAGGAAGTGTACATCTCATCCTAACAGGCCGCTTCGACCAATCTCCCTTCCCTTGTTAGTCACAAAATGAATTACGCTTTTTGGTACTCCACATTAGTTGAACCAAGAAGAAAATGGTGTTTTGCTGAAACTTCATCTAAGGGGTTATTTCGCACACTCATTACGAATACCACACTAATTTCGCATGGTACTGCCATCCGGTGTAGTTGCGCTAGGAGGTCAAAACCAAGGATTCGCGCCAAACTTTGTCTTGGGGGGGGGGGGGGTTGGCACGCTAGACATAAAAATCATATCCACTTCGTACAGTAGCGCCATCTTTTCGTGTTACGTATACAGTAAAAGGCTAAAAATGCTGAATTTGGAAATTTTGCCTAGAAAAATTCCTAAGCACTTTGATCAGAATATCATGCTCTTTCTGCGTTTTGGAGCTTTCGAGGAAGTACGATATGTACTTTAGATGGCTAAGGTGAAGATTTGCTCGAATTTGTTGATCATGTATACTATATATCGCACTCTTCTCTTACGATAAAGCTTTCGTAAATTTTTGGGATTTGATTTTGGCTGAAAAGTGGAAAAGTTGCTCTTTCACGACTGTAGGTCATCCTAACTCAAACAGTAATAGCAAAGTAACAAACTTTTTAGACTTAATTATAGATACTAGTAACCGAAATAATGTTAAGTTTAGTTTGTACAATAAAACAGATAGTTATGATTTTAGAATTATTAGGTATCCTCACTGGAAATCTAACATACCTAGATACATACTAATAAATACTTTTACTTCAAAAGTACTCAGAATTTATAGAAACTGTTCTGGTTATCTAGAGTTTAAGAAAAGAGTAATAGATCTAGGTAAGATATCCAAAAATAATGGATGGGAAGGTAGTTACTTTATAAATATCGTATGCCACACCTTACATGGCAGGCCATTTATTTTACGTAAGTATAGTTTTCCTGCGGCTATTCATCTCCCTTTGATACATGACCTACAAGAATTGTGGACTAAAGATAACGCACCGGAATAGCAAGGTCAATTCAAATTAAGTTGATCCATGCCATCGTGTCTATCACTCTCTTTGTGCTCGTGTTTGCCATCCCCTACGCTGCATCTGTTTTATTAGGTTGTGTAATAACTTCGTTGGCATTTTTTGTTTCAATTTTCTTCCAGCACTTCACAAAACATTTGGCATAGCGTTTGTATGTATTCGGAAGCTCTAAGTCTGCTCTACCAAACCGCTGTCATTATATTCCCAGTTTTCAAAAAGTTAAATAAAAAATACGACTACAAACCAAAAAATCTGACAGAGCGTAAATCCCATTTTCGACAACTATGTTACGCTATATTTTGAATGGGTCTGAAAGCTTAAAAAACAGCTCGAAAATTTTGCGAAGTGTATGAATAGAATACTGTAGCTCCCGCAGGTTACTAATAAATGCTAAAATTTTTCAAAATTTATCTTGTAAACTCAAAAATGGGTATATTTTTGATGCCTCTTCGGCGTCAATTAAGCACCTGTAGGCACCTTTGAGGATGAGTGGTAGCCGAACTGTTTAGGAATTGGCAGACAAGTGGTCTATGTTCGCTAAATCATCGAATAAATAGATTATATAGTCAAAAATTCAGAATTTGGGGGACACACAGCCCACGTACGCGAGACAACGAACGCCGCTGGGGCAAAGCCTTGCTACGCCGACTTTTGATTGCATTTAATGGTCGGCGAAAAAAGTGGGCAATCGTAAACAGTTTCAGTAAGTGCATAAATTAGTTGTTTCTCTTGTTGTCAAGTTTTTTGAGTGAATTTTAACAATGAATAACGGGACAACTAAGAAAGAAAAAGATGTCGAAAATGGAATTTTTGTCTTCTCAGATTTTTCGCTGTGTAGTCAAATATTTTGCTCAAGTTTTTAAGAATCGAAAATATAATAACAAAAGTTTGGTAGGGCAGACTTAGAGCTTCCGAATGCACACTAACATGTTGCCAAATACTTTGCAAAATATTGAAAACTAGCTTGCTTACCCGGCTCCGCTCGGCCCTGTCAAAACACTGTAATAAAGTTCCCATCCCTAATCCTGTACAGCCTTTACCTGTGCCCACTTCTACACTTCGTTTCGCGATCCCTGTGTTGTTTTTGAAATCAGCATGCCCACTTACCACCCAGTGCCAACCCCCATCCCTTCAGCTCAAATTTTGAAAAAATCGATAAATTCGATAAAAGTAATAGATAATACCAAAAACTAATATTGTATTCGGAATCGCCATGCTCACTTACCCCCCTGTGCCAACTCCCAGCCCCGTAAGTCAAACTTTACAAAAAATCGATAAAATCGATAAAAGTAATCGATAATCCTGAAAACTAATATTGTATTCGGAATCTCCATGCTCGATTACTCCCCTGTGCAAACTCCCAGCCCCTAGCTCTATCTTAGCAAGAAAATCGATAAAATCGATAAAAGTAATCGATAATCCTGAAAACTAATATTGTATTCGGAATCCCCATGCTCGATTACCCCCCTGTGCCAAGTCCCAGCCCCGTAGGTGAACTCTGCAAAAAAATCGATAAAAATCGATAAAATCGATATCGGTCGATGACGAAAAGTAGCCTATGACACCCGCCGGGGCCCGAAGTGTATGTGTGCCAAGTTTGGTCCGGATCGGTTGAGAAATGGAATTCTCTATTCGGAACATACGTACAGACAGACAGACATATAGACAGACATACATACAAACAGACATTCAGCTTTATATATAAGAAAAGTTAAAATAAAAAATGCGAACGAACTTATTACACAACCTAATACTTTGTAAAGTTGGCTAACTCTCATAATTGTTTCTGACTCCTTACCACTCCTTACTCATCATGTTTATGAATTGATTTTTGAAGCTTTCTTGGGAACTACTGATGATGGGGCACCAAGAAGGCTACACTACCGGTCTAGTTCTTAGCCCCGAAACCGGTCGTGTAAAAAACAGTAGTTAGTAGTTACCTTTCGGATATTTTGGAATTCTTGGAATATTCTTTCTCATTGTGGACTTATCTCTTTGTTTATGTACCTTAGATGGCTAAAGTGAAGATCTGCTCGAATGTGTTGATCACGTATATATATCACACTCGTCTCTTACGATAAAGCTTTCGTTGATTTTTGGGATTTGATTTTAGCTGAAAAGCGGAAAAGTTGCTCTTTCACGCAGTGTAGCTCATCCTAACTCTAACAGTAAGGGAGTGTTGCAGCGAACGAGGAACTCTATCAAATGGCACTACCGTGCGAAATGATTGTGATATTCGTAATTAGTATGCAAAATAACCTCATAGACGAAGTTTTAGCGAGATCCACAATTTTTATCTTTTGGGCCAACTAATGTAAATTAGCGCCGCTTTTTTTGAATTTAATTAGTAATTTTTTAGCGCTTTTGTGATCACAAAACCTTTAAAGAAGCTAAAGAAACATGCTCTGATCTCGGAGGTTATTTGCCTACGGTTCGAAACAGTTATGAAGACAAGTTCCTTGCAAGTAAGTTGAGGGTGCACACATACTACAGGTAAACTGTTAAAGTTTTGCAGAGATGTATGGATGAGCCCCCCCCCCCCTCACTAGATCGAATGTTGAAAAGGATTAGCATAGCATGATTTTACCGAAATCGCATGAAGTCATCAAGATGTTCGCATGAGTAGTCTGCGGCGACTTTGAACTAACTCGTAGAGGATGTCAAATGGCATCGGTCTTCCGACATCGTGCCTATAGTAATTAGCGGTATCACGGTGTGAGGCTCGCGGAGTTTGCTATATGTCCATTCCATATGCGACAGCGTAGCATACGGGAACAGCACCGATCCCGAGTAAGACATCCTATATCGCAGATTCGTTGGTCGCGGTACCCTGGCAACTAGAATGAGGCGTCATCTCATGTTTTTGAGTGGTCATGAGCTTTCAATATGGATGATTAGCATTCGCCCAAAGCGCATCTCAGTTCCGGCATTCCGGAAAGTCATCGCACCTTAGCATGGCGAATAAAAAACCGAAATCACGAACAACTTTGAAGCTAAAATTTAATATTGAAAGATGTTCAGACGAAGTAAAAACCTATAATCAGGAATCTTTGAGAGTGCCTTCCAAGTATGCCTGAGAGGCTACATTGACGCGAATGGTGACTATGAAACGATTCTGAAACAAATTTGAGTCAAACAATTCAGCATCAAAAGATACCAACTCATAAAAAAAGGGCACCAGCTGCCAGCGTACCTAAGGCACGGACCGGACATCACGGCGGAGCAGCACGCGACGCGAGATAAACGCTTGCTCCAGTACAAAACTCCCTAATGTACAAATCGCCTATCGCAACATTTCAGCCGCGCCGCGCCTGGTCCGCAACGTTTGAGCAGTCCGTGCGGTCAACGAATCGACGATAATTTGAAATATTCGAGATTTTTTTTTCGAATAAACAAATAATCGAGACTTGAAAAACAAAATCATCGAATAATCGAATGTCGAGTATTTTGCGAAATCAAAAGGCAGACTGATCGAATATCGATTATTTTCTTTACAAGGGAACGATACTTGGTGTCCGTGGCCTTTCAAGATGATATGTATAGCATTACACTCGTCTTGAAGCCCTGATTCCAAATCTGACTTCCTTTTTTCCTAATCGTTTCTCTAAAAAGGTTATGAACAAGGTCAAGCGTGGGGTGCGGCACGCCACACCTGGGGGGTCATTGAGGAGTCAAAAGGGGAGGGGATCGTAGTTGGGTAATTTGATAATAGTGATAACATGATATTCGTACCCTATCCATAATTAGCATGTTAAATAACCCCTGTAGACAAAGTGTGAGCGATTTCTGAGGGTTCAAAATATTAGGTTGTAACAGAAATAATGCAGGTTTTCTGAATTTTGTGTTTAAATCATTATAACTTTCTACACAAATAGTCTTTTCACGTGCAACAAAAATTATTGTAATCAGCAAACCTTTTTCAACTCAGTATGCATTATTGTGTTGTTGTAGCTTCACCAAGAGAAATCTTATAGCCCGAATTCTGCCAAGAATTTTTTCGAAAAACCTTTACTTTGAGAAACCATAACTTACTATCAAATATAGTAAGGTAGAGCAAATATAACTCACAGTGTAGGCTATGGTCGGTTGTGCAGCAGTGCTAAATTCGGAATTGAAAAAGAATTCTTTGTGAGAGGATATTTGAAAAATTTTTGAAAGTACTCATTTTTTCGACTTTTCTGAGAACTTGAAAAATCGCTTTTCTGAAACTTTTGAATTTTTTCAAAGCTGAATAGGGGAAACTGCTCCCGATTTTTTCAGCCATAGATATCTAAAATCTATTCTTATTATATGAAGCGGAAGCTCCGCAGTCGCTTCGCGCTGAGGAATTTTATGTAGGGCAGAAGGACCACAGCGACCGTTAAATTTTGCTCAGAAATTTCTCGGCTCAGATGTTTTCAAAATTCATGATTCAACATGCAGTTTGTGAAATAGCTCACTCGAAAATACTATGCAAATTTGCAGCGCATTCCGATTGGGTTTAATGGTTTTAGAGCCAGGTATATTAAAAGCAAGAATTTCAAGATTTCCTTCCTCAAATTCATGGGCTCAGAACTTCTAGACAAATCCACTTCCACCGAAACGAAAGAGTGCATAAGATATTAGAAGAAAAGAGCTTCCAAATGATGTGCAAAATTCTCCGAGAAAACGCTTGCCCTTTCTAAACCAGCATTTTGAAAAAGGTGCGCGAAAAACCTGCATTAATTCTGTTACAACCTAATACTGGGCTACCTAAGTGAAATGGTCGAATTCCAACATGGTTAACTTTGTTTCAAAGGTGAATTAGCCATCCGTTTTTGCACTTAAGACAAAGCACTACTCCTTCTTTGTCCGCCTCAGGAATCCCGCTTCAGAAGACCTCCAAACTGTGGAATTAGAAGCCAACCAGAATCTCGTTTTTCCCATTTTTCGGTTGTGATCGCTGTGCTTTCACCAAATATTATTTGGAGCTAAGAAGACGAATCAGGCTCAAAACAGTCCTATGGAATCTACAAGGTTTAGGCTATCGATTCATATAAATACTGTCCGCTAAAAATGTTTTTTTGATATAGTTAATGGGGTGCGGCACACCCCCTTAAAAGCTGCGGCCGCCGCAGCTTTTAAGGGGGTGTGCCGCACCCCATTAACTATATCAAAAAAACAATTTTAGCGGACAGTATTTATATGGATCGATAGCCTAGTCTCCTAGTTTTCAAAGGAGTAATTTTAGCCTGATTCGTTTTCTTTGCTCTGAGTAATAGTTGGTGAAAGCACAGCCATTAAAAGCGAAAAATGGGAAAAATGAGATTTTGGTTGGCTTCTAATTCCACAGTTTGGAGGTCTTCTGAAGTGGGATTCCTGAGGTGGACAAAGAAGGAATAGTGCTTTGTCTTAAGTGCAAAAACGGATAGCTAATTCACCTTTGAAACAATGTTAATCATGTTGAAAAATGACCATTTCACATAGGTAGTCTAGTTTGTTGAATCTTCAGAGCTCACACTTTATCTACAGGGGTTATTCGACATGCTAATTATGGATATGTTGCCCATTATGTTTGACAGGGCCTTCAAGTAATGCTATCTTAAGTGTATAGTTTAGGGGGGGAGTGTTATTAAGACAGCAATCAGGGGGGGGGTCGTAACCAGCGATCGTGTACCACACCTCTTGCTTGACCCTGGTTATGAACGATTTTCGCGCTAAGGGAAATATGGTGGGAATGCAAAACCGACGCCAGGATGTGGTATAGTGGCTAGTTCGATAGCCTCACAACTTAATGCGGGTTTAGTTTCAAGTCCTTTATGTTTTTCAGTTTTGCATTGCCTCAATTAAGCTTCTTTTGAAAGTAAAGTTAGGCCTCCTCGACCGTATTTCCCTTGGGCGGTTATTGAGGCGAAAATCCATCATAACTTCCTCTGGAGAAACGGTCAGCAGAAACGGAAGTCAGTTTCGGAATCACCGCTCCAAGGCGAGTGCATTAGTGTACAGTTCATCTTAAAAGGCCACGGACACCAAGTACCGTTTTCTTGTTAGAGTCGATCAGTCGATAGCTCCAAAAACAAAGAAATTTCGAACTTCAATCTATTCGAGGGAGAAATTTGAAGTTAAGTACTTACCGGCTGTATCGATTATTTAAACAAAACTCGTCGAAGCACAATGAAGCACTCCTTGTAGCATGGAACATACGAGGGAATACCAAGTTACACTTGCAAACAGAAAAGAGACGTATATCACTCTTAGACAATCGGTGCCATAGCTCCGGAGGACAGTCGAATTCTGGCAGAGCTGCGGAGGGCCCAATGATCATTGACTCAGATAATCGCCGGGGGACAGGCGGTCCGCAAACTCGCGCTTTTCTGCGAGCGGTCAGCAGAAATTTGGGGCGTGGCCAAACCTTCAGCGGGCGGCACTTCCTTTACTGTGTAATATTCTGCCAGCGGGCAGCAACACAGAATTTTCTGCAGGCGTTCGTCAAATATTCTCTTTCAGCGAGCGCTGGTCAAAATTTCAGCTGGCGCTTGGATGGTTTTTGAGCAGTTTCGAGCGTACGCCGAGCAAAGGTGAGACTCTACATGGCAGAGGTGTCGTCGATGGTTTAATTACTCAAGTTTGAGGTACTTTCTCTCAGCGGAAAGTACCTGGGGGCTGCGCGGTCCTCCATAAAGGATCGTGCGGCCTTCGAAAATTTTGCATATATTCGCGGAAAGTCCGCGAGAATGCGGCCACTGCGCCGTAGCTAATCTATGAGTATACCGCGATTGTTCTCCAAGCGTTCGTCTAAAATTTCGCTAAAATTCTTTCAGATATCTGCAAGCGACCGCAAGAAATCAGCGAACTATTTCTCCGGTGCCCGCCCGCCCATAGATCGCATGGCCGCCTGCCCCCGGCGATTATCTGAGGAGAGCGGGGCGAGGGGGCGGTCCTTTCTGTGACGTCACGGTGATGTCACAAGAACGCAGATGGAACCCCTCCGGCGGGCTTGCAAATCTCTGCTCCGGAGGTACGCCAGATTTGGGAGAGCCCCGGAGCACAGATTTGCGCTCCGGAGGTACGCCAGATTTGGGAAACCTCCGGAGCATAAAATGGGGGGGGGGGGCTCCGGAGCACAAAATGGGAGGTCTCCGGAGCACATAATGGGAGGGCTCCGGAGCACAAATGGAAGGGCTCCGGAGCACAAAAAGGAGGGCTCCGGAGCACAAATGGGAGGGCTCCGGAGCACGAGTGGCAAACCCCCGCTGGGCAGACCCCGCGGCCCTGCCATTTCTGCTCCGGAGGTATCCCTTCGACTGTCTGAGCTAGAATCATCAAAACTAAATCCTCTTAAGTGGCATAAGATTAGCGAAACCCACAGAAACCTCTACGGATTTCGCTGTATTTGTTACTTGTAATCAATATATGTACATGTCCCCACCTGCACCTAAACACTGACTTAACTGCTTTGCAGGCTTGTAGTTCGGCCGATAGGCATTCTACGAGCCTGCAGGTAGGC